TGTATGTTTGGAGGCTCCTTCAAATGTCTCTGATTTGATCTCGCTCTCGATTCAAAGTAGAATTGCATTCATGTTGTCCACACGAAAATAATCCGTAGAACCAAAAAATGATTTGCTAGATCCACTTGATGGCTTCAAGTATCAAGAAGAAATAATTTTTCTTCTCCACTCAATGAAGAAGAACGTGAGAGGGAGAGAGGTAGGTGGCTACGGTTGTATTTTTATTGAATAATCTTATGTTTGTTGTTATTTTCACTTATATAGTGCCACTTAATTAAAACCCTAATCCCATTGGGAATAGCTATGGATTCACATATTAATCCATCCATGTAACCAAACACCCTTTCATGGTATTTTAATTTTACATAATTATTATCTATAATTAAAATCAATTAATATATATATTAATATTTAATTTATAATAATTCATTTAAATATATGCGAACACATATTTAAATATAATCTCACTAATTTTAATTTTAATATTAAAATTAAATACGAGCAACAACCTCAACAAATTTAATTGCACTGTAAGATTACCAAAATACCATTTCGTCCTAAAAGATGAAAAAACCCATTTCACAAACTGATTCTTAAATTATCTTCTAAGTGTGTTACCTGTGGGCGCCTTATCATATCGATAGTGAATAGTATCGCGATTAACATGAATTAATTGTCTCACTACTCATAGACCAAGATTGACCCCTAGCAAGGCATCATGGCCACCCGATAGATTCGGATTCAGCAAAATAACTATCTATCAATGATATGGTTACTGTGCAATCAAATTATTTCATCATATGTTATCTCATTGAGGCTGAGGTACAAAAATAGTGTCAACCTCAATTATTCTCGATATCTTTGTATTCAGTTACTAGACCAATGACCGGAATAATAAATTGGATTGAGTAACAACTCAATCCCACTGTGACCACATATTTGGTATCATTGTCATTTACTGAATTACGTCGTGTGATAACTTCTCCCATACCCGAGAGTGATGAATACTTTGTCAATCCACCATAGTCTTGATACACTCCTCAATGTAGCCAATCACTACCATATAGATAGCTTTGAATAGAACTACGTTGGGCTAGTATCAAACCACACCAATCGGTGCATAAGGCCCTCCGGTAATCTCAAGTCTAAGGATCACATGCACCACCATTTGTTAGAGGATTCATTCCATAGACATTGGGGTTACTATTCATATGGAATCCTCTGGTGGGTCTGTCTAGTGAACTTGCCTACAGCAAGTACCCATGTGTTCTACTAAGTTGTCGGCAAACAACCTTGACAAGTGAGATCAGTTACTGTCTTTCGACAAAGTCGTTCAACACTATGACAACCTAATCGTATAATCTGTGTCCTTGGTCATGTAACGCCCCACTTGAGGTACGTAGTTAAGACTTGATGAATGGCTTGAATGTTTATTGATTTACCCTCATTTGAGTTTGTATGTTGTTAATTATTTGGTTTGGTTGAGTGGTTGCCCTGAAAATTGTAAAGACTTGGCGAAATTTTGATGTTACAGTCTTCGCCGGGGCGAAGAAGAAGCTTCGCCGCTGCGAAGAGGTGCTACAACCCACGGTGTAGCTGCTGTAAGTTTTCGTCGGGGCGAAGAAATAGCTTCGCTGCGGCAAAGACTCGACTGAAAATTTCCTTGAGTTTTTAGAGAATTCTTCCTTTGGGGCACAATGACCATTTTACCCCTAATTAGCAGAAAAAGTGGGGATTGAAATGCAAGGAAATTGCATGGAGAATAGTTTATTTGGGGGTGCATTTGCAAAGAATTAAAGGACAAAGATGGAATTCCTAAGAAAGAGTAAGGGTAAGATGGGAAAGAAGGGAGAAAAATGAGATATTAAAGGTTTAGTTTTAGAAAACCTTCTCATTTCTTTCTTTCCACCGCCTCTTTCATCCTTCAATTCTCTCAAATTTTCATTCAACTTTTCAAGGATTTTTGGAGGGTTTTTGACTAGAAGTTGATACAAGTTGATCCTAAGCACTTAAAGGTAAGAATCCTTACTCTAGATGTGAATTTTATTGGTGTAAGAGTAGGATCCTTATTGAGTTTGTGTTTAAGGTTTAAGAGAAAGTATCAAGCCATCAAGAGTGGAGAGCTTAAGTGGATTCTACTTGAGTTTAAGGTAAGTAAATCCACCTAAGTGTGATTTGCATGATTGAATGATGTGTAGAGATTTCTATATGATTTAATTGATTGAATTTTTATGTTTGTCATGTATTGATGGATTTATGAATGAGTTTATTGTTGTTTATGAAGAGAATTCCACCATGAAAATGGTGGATTGTGTTGATAAAAGTTGGTAGAAGTATGGATAGAATTGAAAGAATTTTGAGAGGAATATTTGAAGTGTATTTTCTTTGCAGGATGTGTGATGAATTAAAGGAGTTGAACTCCAATTTTGGATGGTTAAGAAAGAAGTAGAATTATAGTAAGAGTAGAGTTTATGTATGCACACATATTGTTTGATGAAATGCCTAAAAGAAGCATGAGTAGAAGTAGAGAACCTTACTTTATGCAACATAGCATATTTGCATTTCATGAATGCATATAAGAAAGATTCTAGGCATGAGCCATCCATATGCATATGTTTATTTGAATAATCACCTAAGAAAGAAATATGAGAAATGAGAAAGAAACACTCTAAGAATAGAGATAAAGAAAAGAACTAATTCTCTTAGAATAAGAGAAAGAAAGAGTTAGCACTAGAGAAGTGCTAAAGAAGAGAAAAGAGAATAGGTTGTGTGATGGGGAGCCCGTGAGTGTAGAAATTAACCACATGTAACCGCCATGAGAGAGCGGTATCCGCCATGAGAGAGCGGAATGAGAATGAGAAAAAGAATTCGTATAGCCGTGAAAATACATGTGGGTGAGGGCTATACACGAGAGAGAGTACACTCACATGACTAAGGGTTCCGAATCCATGCATCAACCAAGACCGATCGGCGAAGAATAAGAAAGAATAAGAAAACATGAGAAAAGAATAGAAAGAAAAGAAAAGAGAGAAATGCATTGTTATGATTAGTGCATATGCATCCCATCCATGCATGTTATTATGAGATTCTCCATGGGTGATGAGAATAGAAAGAAAGAAAAGAATAGTGAGAGCTAGAAGTAGAGTAAGAAAAGAATTGAAGAGTAATACACGGGGACTATGGAATAAAAGATTTACTTACTGAGCATCTTTGTGCTCACCCCGTTGTTTTCTATGTTTTTATAGGTCATAGGTGAGGACTTGGTCGGATGGACGTCGGCAAGCGGGGAGACTTGACTGCAATATCCACTGTTTTGAGAGTCTTCTTGTACAAATGATATTGTACTTTGTAAAGAATGTATATATTAAGTAAAGAAAAATTTTTGGGCCCAACTATTTTGATAAGTATACTTGTCTTTTCATTAATATATTTAATGATTTTGATAATAGAAAGAAGTTGTTATAGGTCAGAATAATACTAGGGCTATGAACATTTCTAGAATGGCCATCATATGTGATCATAGGGTTCTCACTATCAAGATTTGAAACATTTGATACCCTCATCACAGTTCTACCATCTTAAGGACATATATAATTACATATAACTATAATTTACACGATATAAAAGAATATGCCTTTTACTGATAAACAAATATTATTACAAATAGTCAATTTTACAATAATTGATTGGCTCTAGGGCACCTACTCTAACAGCGCGATCAATTATGTGATATTTTCTCTTTTCGAATCTTATCCTCCACAGGGCTCCCTTGGGATGCTAGAGTTTTTGATATCATTATTGATAGCATTTGGACCCTTCCTATTTGAAATCCAGCTCTTTAGCGAATTTGGGATTCCATCACTCAGGCTCCAAGATTCGAGATCAACAACTACATTATTTTGAAAGGACACCCTTCCGGCAAGTTCTCTGTTGATTCAACTTGGAAACTACTCTGAGCCAAGCGAGAGGTGAACTCTTTACACCATCTCTTATGGTTTCCAAGGAATATCCCCAAGCACTCATTTATCCTTTGGTTGGCCACTTAGGGACTTCATACCATGGATCGCCTTTAGTCCCACGACCTCATTGATTTTGCTAACTATGTCCTTTGCGGCTCTAGGATCGAGACACATGAGCATTTATTCTTCAACTGTGCTTTCTTAGCGTTAGTCTAGGGAGAGGTTTCTTCCAAAACCTCCCAGCCTGGCCTCTTTTCTCCTAGATAGCTTTACTTTAGTGGACGGTTCTGTATCATAGACGCAAGGATGACTTCAGACATCTCCTTGCTTGATTAGTCTTTATTGCCACAATTTACTTCATTTGGTGTGAAAGGAATAATTGTGTGTTTAGTCATAAGAGCAAGACCTCGCATGTGATCACCGATGAGATTCTTTCCATAGTCTGAGATCAGGCTTCTAACCTAGCATCCAAGTATGCCATCCATCCTCAACTTAGAGCCATTTGGAGCCCATCCGACTAATTGGTGTTGTTTGTTCTAAGCCTGTGCGCTCATGTCGGGCGCCTATGCCCATTTTCTCTTTTCTGTTTGGTTTGAGCCTGCGAGTTCCGTTAGGACACCTATGCCATCTCTCTCCTTGGTTTGGAGCCTATGTGCTCCCATTTGGGCGTTTGTTCCCATCTTTTTGTCCAAAAAAGATGGACACATATGTTCTGGTCTTCTTTAGACCTCTTCTAGGATAATGCCCCTAGTTTTTGTATAGTTTCTGTTTTTTTTAATGAAATTTACCTTTTTTTAAAAAGGAGATTACCAAAATACCCCTACAACATTAGTGTCCTATTTATGGTGTTAGTAAAAAGGATGGTTTGTGCATATTTTTAGATAATACAGGGGTCCTCTATGTTGAAAGGTCCCAAACTTGACACGCGCATATTTTTACGAAAACACAGGGGTACTAAGGGAAGTTGTCTCTTTTAAAAATATATTTCACTTTTATAAAATAAAAATTTTAGATTGGGGTAAAACGGAAGGGCGGATGAAGCAGATCAAGCTAAAAGGGAGTTCGAGAACGTTGGTTTAGTTGAACTCGAAGCCTTAAACCAAGCCACCCCAAACCCGCCACCCGCTTTATCATTTCGCTTCTCCTCTCTTCTCTGCAGAAGCAGCTTTCTAAGCGCCCTTCCATGGGCTCGACTTCTACCACCTCTCTCTATTCTAATCCCAAGTCCTCTCTCCGCTCCCATCCTTTTCCAAACACCACTGCCTCCTTTTATCATTCTCACAATGCGCCCCGTCCTATTACGGTGCTGTTCAATGGCAGGAAAAGGTGTTTCAGGTTTAGGCGTTTGGTTGTAGCGGTTGCCTCTGGGGCCGAGGGAGGCCCGAGACGGTCAACTACCGGCCGAAGAGTGTATAGACAGTCTCAGAGTGAGAGCGCTTTGACTAGTGCTCCGGTCAAACAAATTGCCTCATTTGTTGTGCCTGCCGTCGTGTTTGTCGCTGGTACTTTTGGTATGGAAATATTGTTAGTTGTTATTGTGGTTGTTTTACCATTACTAGAATTGTGTTGATATTTAGGAATGGAGAACTGCCTATAGGATTGAAGTTTCAATTGGAAGTGTAGTGTTGAATTGAGGTCAATTTCTTGATTTAAAAACTATTTTATTTGGTTTTTGTGGGTGATTAACAATGTCAGAAGGTCCAATATTAAACTCAATTTAACTATGTTTCTCAAAGCAATGCCTCAACCAACAGCTTTAAATCAGAGTCTTCTCTTTGAGGTTTTTCTTTAGTAAGACCGTTCTTAGTTGAACTATATGGCCATGAACAATGTAACCAAGTTATTTTTTTATTGGTAAAGGTTAATCCAATATCTGCTCTTAGTAAGTTTTCATTTATAGTTTTACTTACTCCCATAAATACATATTTTGTGCTCGAGCTTATTACTTCATGTGAAACTTATTAATTTGTATCTATGCCCTTGTTGGTGATATTATTAGCATTCATGCATTATAATCATCATGTAGCTAACTCCTGATTATTTAGGTAACCAACTAGTATAAACATAAGGCAATTTATTTGTTATGTGTCTCGATGCTTGTTCTAATTTATGTCTTCAGCTGACAGTTCTATGGAAATTGGTGGAGAAAATCCTTATGCCTAAACCACAACGACCTTCATCAGGAGAGAATAAACCTCCTGCGGAAGCAGCAGAAGGAATTAAATGGTCTGTTGCTCCAGGAACGAATTTGCTATCAGGTTTCACTGCTAAGTTATTCAGAGAATCAAAGCAAACACTCAATGAATTTGCAAAAGAGCTCAGGTCATTCAGAAGTGTTGACATGTCAGGTGTGCTCAATATATATAAAATTTTTGAGATGAATATCATATCTCAAATAGATTATTTGTTTTCTTTTGCACTACTTTCTTGCTTCAGCCTGATATCAATTTGTGGCTTTAATTTTCTTTCATTAATGGCTAATCAATTTCTTATAACGAAAGTGTGCTTTCCTTCAATGGAACTTTTGGACAGGACGCAACTTTGGAGATGAGGGACTATTTTTTCTTGCAGAAAGCTTAGGGTACAATCAGGTTAGATTTCTTGAATCTTACTGCTGCTCTTATATTTATGATTGTTTTTCGTGTTTATTGATCATGGCAATAGTTTCTATGGTTTTATTGACTTATCTAACATTGTCACTTTGACTTATTTTCTTGTGCTTCTTTGCCATACTTGGATGCTTATAGCTTATACTGGAAAGCTGAGATGATGTTTCAATTATCTTTATAAATTTATTTAGCATATCAATTTTAATTATTATTATTCTAATTAAAATCAATTAATATATTTATAAAATATATTAACATTTAATAATAATAATAATTCATTTAAATATATGCGTACATATATTTAAATATAATCTCACTTATTTAATTTTAACATCAAATTAAATATAGGCAACAACCTCAGTAAATTTAATTGCACTGTGAGATTACCAAAATACTTTTTTCGCTCTAAAAGACGAAAACACCGCTTGCAGAAACTGATTCTTAAATTATCTTCTATGTGTGTGACTCGTAGGCTCCTCATCATACTAGCAATCAGTAGTATCGCGATTAACCTCAATTAATCGTCTCATTAAACACAGACCAAGATTGACCCCTAGCAAGACATCATGACCACTCGATAGATTTGGATTCAGCGAAATTGCTACCTGTCAACGATATGGTTACCGTGCAATCAAATCATTTCATCATCTATTATCTCATCAAGACTGAGGTATAGAAATAGTGTCAACCTCAGTTATTCTCAATATGTTTGTATTCAGTTACTAGGCCAATGACCGGAATAATAAATTGGATTGAACAACAACTCAATCCCACTGTAGCCACAGTTTTAGTGTCATTGCCATTTACTGAATTGCGCCGTGAGATAACTTCTCCCGTACCCAAGAGTGATGAATCCTCTGTCGATCCACCATAGTCTTGATACGCTCCTTGATGCAGCCAATCGCTACCATATTGACAGCTCTGAATAGAACTGCGTTGGGCTAGTGTCAAACTACACCAATCGGTGCACAAGGCGCTTTGGAGATCTCAAGTCTAAGGATCACATACACCACCATTCTTTAGAGGATTTATTCCATAAACACTAGGGTTACCATCTATATGGAATCTTCTGGTGGGTCAGTCTAGTGAACGCTAGCAAGCACCCATATGTTGCACCAGGTTGTTAGCAAACAACCTTGACAAGTGAGATCAATCACTACCTTTCAACAGAGTTGTTCAACACTATGATAGTCTTACTGTATTATCTGTGCCCTTGATCAGAATAATATTGGGGCTACGGACATTTCTAGAATGGCCACCATATGTGCTCATAAGGTTCTCACTACCAAGATTTGAAACACTTGATACCCTTGTCATGGTTCTACCATTCTAAGGACATACATCAACACATATAGATATGATTTACACAATATATAATAAATTGCCTATTATTGATCAATGAACATAATTACAAAGAATCAATTCTACAATAATTGATTGGCTCTAGGGCACCTACTTTAACAATCTCCCACTTGCACTATAGCCAATCATTCATGTATTTAATACCAAACGACCTGAAGTGTTGTTCATGCTTCTGTTGCGACAGAGGCTTTGTTAGTGGATCGACAAGATTGTCATTAGTATGCACTTTATTGATCTGCACATCTTTCTTCTCAACCATTTCTCTGATGAGATGAAATCGTCTGAGTATGTGTCTGGACTTCTAGTGAGATAGTGGCTCCTTAGCTTGAGCTATTGTTCCATTGTTGTCACAATAGACATCTATTGGTTCAACAATCGTGGAGACCACACCAAGTTCCGTGATGAACTTCTTAATCCAGACTGCCTCCTTGGCCGCATCGGATAATACAATATACTTAGCCTCCATTGTAGAATCTGCTACAATGCTTTGCTTGGAGCTCTTCCAGCTCACTGCACCCCCATTGAGACAAAATACAAACCCGAATTGCGAACGATAATCATCTTTGTCCGTTTGGAAACTAGCATCATTATATCCTCTTACAGTGAGCTCATCTTCCCCTTCATAAACCAAGAACATGTCTTTAGTCCTCTTCAGGTACTTAAGAATGTTCTTGACAGCCATCCAGTGACGCTCACCTGAATCTGATTGATATCTACTACAAGTGCTTAGTGCACATGAGACATCAATTTGAGTACACAACATGGCATACATGATAGATCCAATTGCCGAGGCATATGGGATCCTCGTTATCCTATCTCTCTCATATGGTGTTTTAGAACACATATTCTTAGAGAGATAGACACCATGTGACATCGGAAGAAACCCCTTCTTGGATTCTTCCATACTGAATCTCTTCAATACTTTGTCAATGTATGTACTCTCACTTAGGCCAAGCAACCTACACGATCTATCACGATAGATCTTTATCCCGAGGATGTAGGCTGCTTCTCCTAAGTCCTTCATGGAGAAGCACCTGGATAACTAAGTCTTTATCGACTGTAAGTTCGGTATATCATTCCTGATCAGAAGTATGTCATTGACATATAACACTGGGAATGTCACTGCACTCCCACTCACCTTCTTGTAAACACAAGGCTTATCTTCTTTGTTGATGAAACTGAATTCTTTTACGGCTTCATCGAAACGAATGTTCCAGTCCTTGAAGCTTGCTTGAGTCCATAAATGGACCTCTGCAACTTGCATACCTTGTTAGCTTGCCCATCAAGAACGAAACCATCGGGTTCTATCATATACACATCCTCTTTAAGGTTTTCGTTCAGGAAAGCTGTTTTGACATCCATTTGCCAAATCTCATAGTCATGATATGCAGCAATCGCAAGCATAATTCGGATGGACTTAATCATGGCAACTGGCGAAAATGTTTCTTCATAGTCAATACCATGAATTTGTTTTGAAAACCTTTGGCAACCAGTCGTGCCTTATATGTATGCATCTTGCCATCCATGTCGGACTTCTTCTTGAAGACCTATTTACACCCTATGGGTTTTACCCCTTTAGGTGGATCCACTAGAGACCACACTTGGTTCTGGTACATGAAGTCCATCTTAGATTTCATGGCTTTTAGCCATTTAACGAAATCTGGATCCAATATAGCGTCTTCGTAGGTTCTGGATTCATTGTCTTGGTAGACCAATACATCACCATGTTGAGTCACAAGATAACCGTATCTCTCAGGCTCACAACGTACTCTCCCAGATCTACGTAGCTTCTGTGCTACCTAAGGTGGTTCACTTTGATCCATAAATTATGGAGTAACCTCCTCACGATGTTCAACCACCTCCTGTGGCACATCTTCTCATCCTTCGTCTAATGTATCTTGTGGTACTAGAACTTTATCGAGTTCTACTTTTCTCCCACTATAACTTCTTAGAAAAAATTCCTTTTCTAGGAAGACACTAGTATGAGCGGTAACAATTTTACGCTCTTCTGGGTGGTAGAAATAGTATCCTTTGGTCTCCTTAGGATACTCTACAAATATACATTTGCAGGATTCGGGCCTAGCTTATTCTAAGTCAATTTCTTGACATAAGCTTCACAACCCCAAATCCTTATATAAGACAAGTTAGGCTTTCGCCCACTCTATAGTTCGTATGGAGTCTTATCTGCAGACTTTGACGACACACGATTCAGTACATGAGTCATAATCTCTAGGGCATAACCCCAAAATGATGTAGGTAGATCACTAAAACTCATCATAGACCTAACCATATCAAGTAAGGTCCTATTCCTCCTTTTAGACACTCTATTATGTTGGGGTGTGTATAGAGGAGTGAATTGTGATACTATCACACATTCCTTCAGGTATTCAAAAGACCTTGAGCTTAAGTATTCACCTTCTCGATCCGATTGAAGAGCTTTAATACTTTTGCCCAACATATTATGTACTTCATTCCTGAATTTTTTGAATTTATCGAAGGCTTCAGATTTATGTCTCATAAGGTAGACATAACCATATCTACTGAAATCATTAGTAAATGTAATGAAGTATGAATATCCACCTCTGGCTTCAACTATTAGTGGACCACATACATCACTATGGATGATGCCTAATAGTTTAGTAGCCCTTTCACTTTGTCATGTGAAAGGAGACTTGGTCATCTTGCCTAAAAGGCATGATTCACATACCTCAAATGACTGGAAGTCAAAAGGGTCCAAAATTCCATCCCTTTGAAGTTTTGCAATGCGAGTCTAGTTAACATGACCTAATCTACAATGCCAGAAGTATGTCTGGTTTCGATCACTATGTTTAGCTCTCTTGGTTTAAACATTGAGAATATCCTTATTGTTTAAATCAAGAACATATAACTCGTTATCTAACCTTGCAATTCCAAATAGAATACCATTCAAACTAAAGGACAATAATCCATTAGAAATCTCAAAATGATACCCTATATTATCCAAAGCGGATACTGAAATAATATTTCTGGAAATAGAAGGTACGTAATAATAGTTATGAAGTTCCAACAACAAGCCAGAAGGCAAAGATAAACAGTAAGTTCCTACAGCTAATGCAGCCATATGTGCTCAATTTCCAACTCGTAGGTCCATTTCTCCCTTAGTGAGCAATCTACTGTGCCTTAGTCCCTACATATCAGTGCAAATGTGAGTATGACATCCTGTGTCAATGACCCAAGATGTTGAAGGAGAGAAGTTAATCTCAATCATGAACATACTTGAAGTCGAAGCCTCTAACTTCTTCTTATTGGCGAGGAAAGCGTTGTAGTGCTATCTTCAGTGGCCAGGCTTGCCACAATAGAAGCAAATTACTTTCCTTCCCTTCCTAATGCCACTCTTCGACTTAAGAGCATCCTATCTTTTGGGCTTATGATTGGGTTTGGCCTTGGCCTTTCCCTTGCCTTTACTCTTTTCTTTACTGACGGCAACCAGTAAAACAAGCTTGGACCTTTTCATTTCCTGCTCTGCAGTCCTCAGCATATTTAGAAGCTCTGACAGGGATTTCACCATTGTGTTCATGTTGAAGTTCATTATGAACGGTGCAAAAGAATCAGGTAAGGATTGCAGAATTAAATCCATTTGTAATTCTGCATCCAACCCAAGACCCAAAGTCTCAAGCCTCTCCATGTGCTCGATCATTTTGAGCACATGAGGGCCAACTTTGGCTCCCTTAGTCATGCGGCTCCTAAACAGCTCACTTTACACCTTGTACCTCTCAAGTCGAGTATTTCCTTCTAAAAGCTCCTTGAGGTGCAGA